TAGTTGGGGTCGGGGTAGCCGTGGCCCGACAAGTTGGACATCATCTCTGTTTTGTGGTGGATGCCGTTCCACACCACCGTGTCGGGCTCGCCGGTGGTGCTGGAAGTTCCCACGGTGAAGATGAGGCGCCGCATCCACGCGACCTTCAGCAGCTCCAGTACCTGTTCAGCAGAGAGACAACGAATCCATTAGTCCGAAAACGAACCAGCAACTGTTTTTAAAATTGATTCCAACCAGGTCCAACAATTTAACCAATATGCGATTATCTAACACCAGTTAATAACGACAGATGAGCTGCCTGACTGACGAGGATGAACTGTGTTTCTGATTTTAACCAGTAAAAAGGCTCTCGCCGTGTACTGCACTGTGGGACCGCCAGCGTCCACCTGGGCATCACACCAGGGACTCCAGGATGAGCCCTACGCGCAGATACACTACAACTGGAAGAATTTAATCCAGTTTTCCATTAGTGAATTACAGCAGAGATTATTTATAGAGGCTGAAGTGTGCAGCTGCCGTCGCCAGCAAGCAGGAAATGAGCTCCTAATTCACCATGGAAACAACACAACTTCATAATGAGCACAAAATGTTCTTAATTTAATCACAGCGAAACAGTACAATCCCGACGGAGCGCCGCGCAGGGTCGTGTGTTGGTAGTATCGAGCAGCAGGTGTCGGGTTGGTCTCTCCAGCGCCACTGCGGTTCTGCTGTGACTTATTGATAATCTGGGACCTGTGGTCGGGTATAGATGCTGATATCTGAGATCTGTTCACACTGTGTACACTGAAAGCGTCTGTAGGGCAGACTGCAGGCGTGTTGCTTTTTACCTTCCTGCCCTTGTCGTTGTCCGGTAGAAAACAGAAGCGCGGGAAGCCTCTACAGGTGTACGGCTGTCCCGGGTTGGGATGCTCCGGGCCCTGGTGGAGAAGGACAAAGACTGACTGATGAATGGAAACATATAAAGTTTAATATTAGGGATCAGTCGGAGCAATGGAATAATCTGATGACATGTTTTGAACAGTAGACCAACAGCTCGATACAAATCTGATTCAGGTTCCTGTAGCTTTAGGTGGGCACGGCTCTTTGCTGCAATTTATCTGCACTGGTGGTTACAGCAGGACACGGAAAGAAATTAGGGCTTTCCCAAAAGGCCGTAACAAAGGAGCGGGCGACGCTGTGAGGAGGAGAAATCTCTCCCACAGTCGAGCCTGAACATCAATCCGTTTTAAACTTGTTTGAAACACCCTGAAAGAGCTTCAGTCTAGACTGCAGTCTCTCCTCCGGTCATTATGTTCAGATTCCCCCTTTCAAACTTTTCAAAAAGGTACCGGTACCGGCCCCGAACATAAAGCGACCTTGACGACACACCTGGAAAAAAGGCTCTTTGAAGAGATGGAAGACTTCAGACTGCTGGGAAAGTTTTCCCTGAGATACTATTAGTCCAAGAAGACACATACACAGGCGTACCGCCTCGATGATTTTCTCGGGCTGCTGGTTGCGTATTTCATTTTGCTCCTCATCATGATGACACTGAGTAACACGGCTAATTGTTGATAAATGATGCGGTTTCCTTCTACGGTAAACACATCTGCAAGTGCTTTCCAACTCAGTTATTTCCTCCGTGGCAGCAAAACGCATTACACGAGCTGTCGGAAGCTCCTGCAGGTGAAGCTGGACTGACACTTTTAGGACTAACTCTAAAAAAAAAAAAGAAAGAGACTATAAACGAGGAACTCGCCCCGCTTAGCAACAAGAGATTTTTATTTTAGTGAGTGACATCTTTCATCTGTTTCACTGACGGATGACGCTGCTTTGGTGCTTCTATTTTTGCCGTGCTGTGAGCCGAATTCCCCACGCACGACAATAGAGACGGAACATTCAGGCTACAGCAACCCATAATGCTCTCTCTCTCATTTAAAGAATATATAGTTTTACAGGATGGAAAAGTCTTCTTTCCTAGTTAGACTAGAATCAGATAAATGTAAGAATTTCTGGAATAACTGGGTTGATCTTTGCTTACACCATTCGAGAACGAGACTTTCATTTGGTAAAAACAATGTATCTTATGGATCCCCTTGCTACAAATTTTGACTGTTCAATGTTCATAAGATTGTGTTCGGCATTATCTTCACCAGGTGAGAAAGGTATTTACAAGAGGGGAATGAAAATGTTTATCGTAGTGAAAAATGTACTTATTTCAAGTCTACTGAGTTTTGTGTTTAATTGTGAATTTTTGTATATTTATGTGTTTGATCCCTGTTGTCTGTGAAGTATTTGTATGCTCTGTATACATGGAAAACATATGTGTGAGATGTTAAATGCTAATGGGAGAATACTGAATGGAATCAATAAAATGTTAATTTAAAAAAATAAATAAAAGAATATATAATTGTCATGTCCTTGAATATTATATTGTAGAAGTCCCTCATTCATTTGTATTTGCTGCCATTTCATTTGACCTTTCCGCATTCATTCTGGCTCATGCTCCTCTGCGCTGATTACAGGATCATTCAGATCACCTGTTGCACAGCGTGTGGGGATTGACCCATCAACAGTGACTGAGAGCAGCTTGACGATTCCCCTCTCGGCCAATCAGGGTGTGACCACGCCCAGTCTTAAAGGCATAAGAGAGGCAGGGAACTGCGCACCCAGGGCATTCTGATCCTTCCTCAGTTTAGCAGACATAGCCATCCAGAAACTTGAGCTCTATTTGCAGTCTCTCTTGTTTTTAACTGAAAGTGATTCTGGGTGAACATACACCCCCATTAGTACCTGTACCAGGGCAGTCTTTAGTGCCATTCATGCAGGAGGCTTATTTTTGTCTATTTTCATTATTTTTGAAAAGGCATTCGTTATTATTGAAGAGTTATTTGTTACTGAAGAGGCATTCCTTCATTGTTAAAGTACTTCTGAGTTTTGTTCACCAAAGTAATATTTTTTTGTTACGAGGTTTGAGAACTGGCTCTCGAGCTGCTTTCTCCTGAGCTGAGACCTGTGGAGTCAGAACAGTCACAGTAAGGCCCCGACTTTTTAAACGCCTTTCCATAAATGAATAAATGAATACAATTCATCGTATCTTTGGGTCAATGTGGGACTTAATGTGACCACATCTCAAACTCAAATTTCCTAGAGACCGCTGGCCTGGTTGTTCTCCTGTAGGGAGGGGCCCAAACTCCAATGTTTATTGAAATATTTTTTTTCTTAGGTTCAAATTCTGCTCTGATTTTGCAGTCTTGATAATAAAGAAATGATTACTGCAAAATGAAAGAGAAAAGACTGGGGAACAATTTAAATTAAGGTACAAAAGAAATCCCCACGTGGGTTTGATTGAACAGCAGCTGGTGGCTCAGCGTGCAGGCGTACCTGTATGCCAGGTGGTATGCTGTAGATGATCTGGATGGTGCCACAGTCCGGGTGGCCCGGCAGCGACTGGGCGATGCTGTAAATTTCCATCTTGCCTTTGGGCTGGGTGCCGGTCTTCTCTCCGTAGATTGTCTTACACGACGGGCACTGCAGGCTGCCGTCCTGAGGAGGAAAACCGGAGTGCCTTTTTAAACGGGAGCGATCAATACAAACCAGGTAAGTGCTGATCAAATTATTCATCGATCGGCTGATGAGACTTTTGTTTTGTGTCGCCCCCCTCCCCTCACTCACCAGGTCATTATACCTCTGGTCTCATCAGCCAGTAACCACTGAGGCTTGTATGTGTGGAAAGTGATATACTGTAGTTATTTGGTATTGAGTTTATATACGACACCTTAAATGAATTCCACTACAACAAAAAAAAACATGTTATGGACAGGAAAAAAACCTCACCACACACAGGACCATACCACCGTTAGCTCATTTAATGCAAATCTCATGTAAACGTGTGCTATAGTATGAGATTAACACTACATTTTATTCAATCAGGTCTTTTTCTTGAGAGACCCGAGCAGAAGAAACATTCAGACAACCAGCATACAAAAAAAAACACAAACAGACCAGACAACCATAAAGAACTGGTATACCGTCGAGGGGAATAAACAAATCTAGCTTGAGGGCAGTTTCCTCCACTTAAAAGACTCACTGTGCCAAGATTAGTGTGCACATATTGGATATCCGTGGTTATGTAGTTACTGGATTGTTTACCATAGTTAAAAGATAGAAATTTGAGACGAGATGCAAGGTCGTTTGGAAGCTTTAACAGCAGACCTCTCGTGGTATCCGTTGAGTTCGTAGCTGGAGGCGGAAGACGATTAGCTTAACGTTAAGACTGGGAACGGGGGAATCGGCGAGCCTAGCTCTGTCTAAATACCTTCCAGCACTTTTAAAGTTTGCTGATTACATTGTTGGATCTTGTTAGTTTTAATCCTTTTTAAAAAAGAAAAAAAAAGTACAAATGAGAGAAGTTGGGGTTGTACGAGGAGTTCTTTCTCGATGACCAGCGGCAGGGTGCAGAGATTTTCTGGATTCTTGTCATCACAGTGATGTTGGAAGTGGCTGTTTCCCTTCTGCTTCCAGTCTTTATGCTAAGCTAAGCTAATCACCTCCTGACTGTAACCCCGTATTGAACACACAGACGAGTTTTTCAGATTTCTTCAAGACAATTCCTCATTGGCGTTTGTCAAATTAATGTTGCGGTAACATGGTACAGACTTTCACATCAATTCATCCGCATAATAAAAAAATACTATAGTTGGCATTAAGTATGTAACAGTTCTGTACCTTTGTTCCGTTGTTGTACATGGCCAGCATGCAGAGCATATGCAGGGTGTGTCCACACTTGATGAATTTCCCCACGGTGTCTGGCAGGATGCTCTGGCCCCCGTCCTCTGTGGAGGGTGTCTCGTAGCCGGACGGATTGGACAGTTGATCCATGCAGATAATGCAGTCCTGAGAGGGGACCAGGGAATGTGTGTCAGTTACCAAAGAAAAACTGGGACCGTTTTCCCAGCTAAGGGCCAGCAGCACACACACCCATACAAACGGTCTATCAAAATGCTGTTTTAAAAGTCTGTATTTATGTTGCACCTTCGTATGACATGCACCACAGACAGTGACCCCTATAAACTGTGATTAATCTGCCTGTACAAAAGAGCACCAATAACTCTTTCCTCTTGTTTGTCTGTGATGTCTGAGAGGGGGGGGGGAAATAAAAAATAAAACCCTGAGACATTTACCTCATCCGGTACTCCGGCCACTACTTCCATGTAGCGCTGAATCACCTCCTCAGGTCTCTGAGAAGAGGCTGAAAGAGGGATAAAAGAGAAAACACAAAGTGATGAATGAGCGGAGACAGGCCAGACACTAAAACGGCAAGTCCAACAAATCACCAAACAACAAGATGACTGTGGTGAGGTGAGATGGGATGATTTTCCTCCTCACAATATCAATTAATTTATTATCTCACTTTAGAATTTCAGTCAAACATTAGCCACATAAGATATGGGTTTCTGCCTCTCCTACATACAAAGTCCGGGTTGCTGCAAATCATAAAATCGTGAAAATGGCCGCAGGATGCAAGAACATGCAAACACATTAAGCCACAGAGACAATCTGAGCCCACGATGACAGAATGAACCATGACAGGCAGCATGAGGGATGGACACAGACACTTAGAGCACATCACTAGCATCTCCTCACATACACACACGTTAGTGTCGAGTCTGTTTAGGAAAATAAAATTCTGACAGCTAACTAGACGTTCATCTTCAAGTGTCTTTTGGAGTTTATTACACAAGACAGCTCCATTGAATTTCAGATTTACAAAAGGTTGGGAGGTTAGCTATTTTTCTCCCAGCTGAGAAATAAGAATAAATTCCCAGACATTAATGGGTTTTTTATGTCCTGTGTCCCGCGTTGATTTCAAGTTAAAAAGTGGCAGACAATGAGAGCGGAGGATGTGTAATTTATGGTCATGAGAATGCAGAGATTGGGGAGGGGGGACCCAATCAGGCAGAAATAAAGAGCCAGCAATGAAATGAAGCTTAACATTTCAGTTGTGGCACAGCAGTATTAACTTAACTATGAGCAAACCCATTTTAATATACACAAGTCTGACAGTGAATGTGATGTATAATGGTTGACTTATGGTTATTATTCTCCCATTTGAGAAGCTGGAGTTTTTTTTGCTTTAAACTGACTCAAACTGATCAATTATCAAAACAGCTGCCAATTAATTTGCTGTCGAATGACTAACGCATTAAGTTCAGCAGCTCTATACTGCAGCAGTGGAGGTCTTCTGCACCAGAAGCACAGAGTGAGTGAGCATCCAGGCGATGATGTGTTGATATACAGATGGGTGACAGATCAAAGCGAAACCCAACATAAAGTTGTCGTTACACCCTGAGCCTCCAGAACCACTTCAGCGCTCCTTGGCAAGACGTTCCCTCATTTAGTGGATCTATCTAGTATCCTGTACACAAGCATCTGCATTTGTTATGTTTCTCCACTCGTTTATTCTGGCTTTTCCTTTAGTTTGTTACTCATCTTTATATACACCTGTCGCAAGACTCGAAATCCTGTCAAACATGGAAGATTTGTTCACACTTTTCCACATTATTTGGACTCCCTGCTTAATTTTTGTTAGGATGGGCGCAGAGGAGGTTGGAAAGTGCAAAATCACATCTTTGAGAGCTGAAAAAAACAAAACTAAGGCAATGCAGGATTTCAAGCAGCCGATAATGATGACTGGAATGAAATTGGAGGGGGAGGGGGAGGGG